TCGTCAAAAAGTCACCGAAAAACTTGAATTTTCTATTGGGATATGGTTCACATATGAGTAAAGAATCTCACATCATTAGAAAATCTGAATAAGATATCCTATATATATATGAAAGATCCAAGAACCTAATAACTTAAACTTTTGAGCTCAAATGGTGTCCAACATTTATGTATGGGTTCTCTGGTGTGCTCCCATGGGCTCTAAGTATGGTTTATCTCTCCAACAAGTGGTATCAGAGCCAAAAGTCACGGGTTCAAGTCTCAGTAGTGTTACTGGAGGGGAGATTATTGGCATATCAAAGGTTGGTTGCGTTTATCAATTTCATATACTTAAACACCGATATTAAAAGAAATTATTGATAGATTGGAGGTTAGTCTCATCCATTAACTTCATGTGCTTGAATGCTGGTATTAAAAGATTCAACTTGAATGTAGCGAGTATATGATAATATGCAGAAGTGAAACACCTAAGTGGATAATGTGTTGAGTCAACTTGAAGTGTAAGCTTGATGGAGCACTGAGACAACCTAGGCACCCAGGTTGAGTGCTATGCCTTGGCCCAAAAGCACACTAGAGTTGTAAGGTTACCTAGCCCAAAAGAGGTGCTAATAAGGACTTACTTGCATGAGAGAGTTGAGGTGAAACTTGATTAGAACTCACAAGTGAACGGGGGAGATTGTTGGGATATGGTTCACATGTGAGTAAAGAATCTCACATCATTAGAAAATTTAAATGAAATATCTTATATATGCATGAAGGACCCAAGAACCTAATAACTTGAACTTTGGGGCCCAAGTGGTGTCTAATATGTATGTATGAGCTCTTTGGTATGCTCCTATAGGCTCCGAGTATGGTTTATCTCCCCAACATTTTTGTCAAAAAATTTAACCTAATTCTAGAATTTCCAAAAAATTCCCAGAATATACAAAAAAAAAATCCCTAAAAAAACTAATCCTCCAATCTAAGCCATGAATTTCCCAGACACTTCCTACTAAAAGCTAAAGCTTCTCCAAAAAAATTTTTAATTCTGATTACTCCCTTTTATCCCTATCTCTGTCTGTCCATGTTCTTGTAATGGCTAGGGTTTATATAGGGTTAGTTCGAGATTGAAGCTTACTAAAAAATGAGTGTCTACCGTGAGTTGAAAATTTTATAGCATTTATTTCTAGTAATCTTTTATTAATCACATTTTCAAATGAAATTATCTTTTTTTCACTTTGTTGTTAGCACTTAATTATCAACAATAATTTTGTTCCTCAATTATCTTTATATGTTATATATGAGTTTGATACAATTTATAATTGATTGATTTCATCATTATATTGTGGAATATTTTCTTTTATATATTTAATTTTGCCAATGTTGTATTGTAAATAAAAAAGATAATAATACTATTATTATATTGACCTTACTGACACAGGTTTTTGACCATGTCTATGCCAATATATATATATATATATATATATAAGAAATGTGCAAAAAATTTTCTTATATTTGTGTTTGATTATGTTAAGAATGTAAACACCAATTGGTAGTAGATAACGATGTCTTAATAGTTTTTAAAAAATATTAATTCTAAAATATCATATGGATTTTAAAAGAATATGTTTTGAAGAGTTATGAATTCAAAACTTTCAGATCTTTTTGCAAAATTTATTGTCATGTAATTTTTTAAAAATAATTATCAAAGTTGAATTTATTTGAAAAAAAAGTCAGTTTGAGACAAATATATTAGGGATGATGAAGTAATAACGTTTTTGTAATATATCCAAGTTGGATTCAAGCCAACTTGTGTAATTTAATTTTCAATGTTGTATGTCCTTTCTAAGAAAAATATTGGTGGTTATCAACTTTTATAATTATTTATAAATGGTGGTTTTGCATTGGGTTTGGATAGGTTCATGCGGGTAATTTTTTCTTCAACCAAATAATTTTTTTTTAAAGTTACACTCATAATCAAGTATTATATTTATATAATCAACTATTACATCATTGAATAATCAATTAATAAATTTTAATTTAATTAAACAACTAAATCCATACAGTAAAATTTGAACTTAAGACCTTAAGGTTTTAGGACATTCTCTTTATCATTAAATTAAGGTCTCATTTGCTTCTTCAGCCAAATAATTAAATATAAAAAATAGGAAGTTAGAAGTGGATAGTTAGGAAATTAAAAAAGAATTAAATGAAGTTTCACATTACATGTGAATGTGATGCAACATTAGAAAATAATAAATAAATAAACTAATGTCATGATCAGAGAAGCTAGGCTATTATATTCTTACTATCAAAGCATGCATTGGTGTATATTACTCATGTAGCTCATCAATGGTTCATCTCTCTAACAAGTAGTGTAAAAGTCTGATTCATTTCCATTCATTAAGACAAGAAAAAGTTATATGATTCTAGATGATTGATGTCTATAAATGGTGTAATTCTCCATGTTGCTTGTTTTGTGATACATGACACTTTTGAGTAGTGCAATAGCTTTATCTTGAGAGAAAACATTCATTATTATTAATTTTTTATAAAGGAAATTACAATACGAAGATAGAGAAAGAAATTAAAATTATTAAATATTATTTTTTAAAAATATTTGTTTAAATCTAATCTCCTTTAAAACGGAATATACCCATTCTATTTGGCTTAAGAATTATCCCAAGTTTCCTACCTGCCATAGCCATTCTTTTCCTAAACAACAAACGCAGCATTTATTTTTTAATACCTCAAATTAATATTATAAACCCTTATTATTTATTATTTTTTAAATTTATTAAGTAATTTAATTAACTGAAAAAAGAAAACTTCGAACAACAAAAAAAAAAGGCACATTGGATCTTGCCGCTGGACAACGTGGAAATTCCTTTACTTCACGTGCGCCTCAATTTTTTCCCCACTTTTTTTCACCTAAATTTTCCTTTTTCTTTAACCCACACTTTTTTGAAGTCCAACCATTATTGAACGAAAGTCTAACTGCCACGTAAAGCATTTATCCTGCCACGTGGAATAATTGGCAGTTAATTCAGTATCATAGTAAAAAAATTAATTATAATTCTATTTTTCAGGAGTGGACCACATGGCAAGTGGGTCCCAACCAAAGTCATGAAATGACAGAAATAAAAAAAACTAATCGACGAACACAGAATCTCCACCGACACGTAATTGATTATAACGATGTCTATCCGTTGGTGACCTTGTCAACGCCTTTTTCCTTTCCGATTTTGCAGGTTCGAGAATTTCAATGCCTTTCCCTTCTCTGTCGATATTTTCTTCGATTTTATCAAAATCTCTCGCGAGAATAAATGCCGGTTTTAATTAAACTTTTATTAAATATTGATTTTTCTTTTTTCTTTTGTTTATTTTTTTAATTTCTCGAGGATGGTTTGGGTCATCCCTTGTAGTTTTCACAACCAATGGTTGGGGACATGTAGCAGACAATCTTAACTAGAAAAGTTCGTAAGGTGATAATAATAATCTTAATATTAATTTTTATAGTAATTATTATTATTTTAAATAAAAAATATATAACTTCTTATTGTAATTGAGTTTGAGTTCTTGAACAATATATATATATATATATTAATAAATTTGATAATTAAAAATATGATATAATAATATGATATAAACATAATATAAAAAATAAATGTAACATAATTAAAATTTTAACAAAAATTATCATGAATTTAATAAAATTGATAAATACATTTTGTATTTTTTGTACCGATATAAATTATGATATTTAATTTTTATGTAAAAAAATATAAACACATGAATTACTAATATTTTATATAACATGAATATACAAATAACTAGATTTATTTATTAAGAATTGGTACTTGAATCAAATTTTAAAAATAATATCCTCGTTATTTAAGAGTTAAATCAAAGAAATTTTTAATACTTTGATACGACAAAATTTCATTAGATAGTTTAATGATGAAAATTGTTAAATTATGATAGATCAATTTATTTATGAATACAATGTTTAAAATGAAGTCTATAATTTTTTTTGTCACATCAAAAGGGTGAATAATTTTTTGAAAATTATAAAAATTTAGGCTTATTAGTGTTCCATTAAAAACATACTTTGATTATAAAACAAATGAGGTAAAAAAATTTATTAAGATGAAATTATTTCTCTTAATTGTTAAAGCACATTTTCGTTACTTTTATGATTTGGGTGAATTTTCTTAGTTGTAATTCGTGATTACAATAGATAAGTCAAACTAAATCTTAACATGCCATAAGTTAAAGATTCTAGTTACAACTAAAAAATTTGGTGGACATATCAAAGAAATCTTTGAATATTAAAAAAAATCTTTAAATTTTTTTTTTTGGATTAATGCTATGAATGATCCTTTAATTATAAAAAAATATTTAATGTGGTATTTAAATTTAAAAATTTTTTAATGTGATATATGAATAATAAATTTATTAACTAATATGATACTCAACTTTAATATGATTAATTTCAAATAATGATATATGATGTACAAACAACTTTTAAAATATTATATTAGTTAATAAATTTATAATTTAGCTACCACATTAAAATTCAAGTATTATATTAAAATTTTACTATAATTCAAGTACCATTCATTACATTAACTATTTATTTTTAAATAAATTTTTATACTTATATTATATCTAAAAAAAACTCTTATCTTTTTATTTATATCTAAATAAATCTTTATTTTAAATAAAAAATTAATTTATATTAAAGACTTATTAGAGTATAAATTTGAATATAAATTAAAAATAAATAATTTATTCTAAAAGTTATGCAATACAAATTAAAATTTAAAATCTCATTTTAAAAAGTCAATGAGAGTTGACTTTTTTTATTCTTTTAGTCAAGAAACAAACAACTAGTTGCAGCTCAGGTTTTCTCATTTGTAACCCACAAATAAAGAAAAATTATAACTGGAGTAAAAATTAGGAAAATAAAACAACTTGGCATTGATCATATTTACTTTATTTTAAGTATTTAAAATGAGAACCAAAGATTGGCCCAAAGAAAAGGGAACTGGGAACGTGAAAAAAGAGGGCATGGAAATTTCGTGCAGAAATGGGAGGATTAGATGAGAACGAAAGAAACTGCAAACAAAGCAAAGCAGAGTCATAGTTAAAGACCCCACCTTCTTTTCTTCGAATCTCTCTCTCTTTTCCAACTTGTTTCCCTCTCTATTGTTGCCCTTTCAAACTCTTCAAATAACAGCAAACAATGCCCATTGCCTTCCTTCTCATCTTTCTCCACTAGTCTTTTTCTTTTTTTTTTTTGACATAAAAATTTGTTTTTTTTGTCTATTTTTCTTTTTCCCATTTCAATAATGGCAAAAGCTAATGCTGATAAGTTGAGGCGGTTAAGAGCTTGGGTGCAAAACTACGATTGGGGAAGATGTGGGGCGGAGGCACAGGTGGCGAGGCTCTTGGCTTTGAATTCTGGGGTTGAGGTTGAGCCTGACAGGCCTTATGCTGAGTTTTGGATGGGAACCCACGACTCAGGACCAAGTTTTTTGGCCGATGGAGAAGAAGGAGGAAATTTGGGTTTAAAGGAGTGGATTGGGCAGAATCCAAATGTGCTTGGTCATAAGGTTTTGGAAAAGTGGGGGTCTGATCTTCCCTTTTTGTTCAAGGTTTGTTCCTGTTTTTTTTTACTTGGATTTGTGCACTTTCTTTCTCTTTCTTTTTATTACTGGAAAATTGAATTTCGATTATTGAGTTGGTGGGTTTTCTCTTTAAAGGTTTTGTCTTTTGTGTTTTAATGGAAATTGAATTTTCGCCATTCATATAAAAAGTTCCTTTTTTTTTTTACCATTATTTTGGTTTTAAGTTGGATGTAACTGAATTTTGATTCGTTATGGTGTTCTTGGTTTTTTTTTTTTTTTTTTTTGGTATCTATAAGTTTAAAATTTGATTTTTGGGTGGTTTTGATTTCAATTTAAATTTAAACAACTGGATATTGGAATGGTTCTTGGGTAGTTCATGCCAGAGAATTAGGCTTGAGAGTGGAAAATGGATATCAGCATAACATTAACTAAAATATTAGCAAGTTTGTCTGTAAATTGTCTAATTTGGTTCAGTGGTTATGCCAATATGTTGTAATATAGGTACTTTCAGTGGCAAAAGCCCTGTCAATACAGGCGCATCCGGATAAAGAATTGGCAAAAGAATTGCATAAGTTGCAGCCAAATCTCTATAAGGATGGTAATCACAAACCTGAGATGGCTTTGGCAATAACTGAGTTCAGGGCGCTTTGTGGGTTCATTTCTCTTGAGGTACTACATGAATCATGCTCAATTTTTGCTGCAACTTTTAGTTCTTATAATATTGCTCTCCTGCTGATTGTCTTTATGTTTCATAAAATTCTCTTAGTAGGGATACATGATAGTCATTGGTAATTACCTTTTGCAACTAAATGTATCATCTATGCTCTTTGAAGTTGTAATCATGCTGAATAACTATTGGGGAAATGATATGGATGACTAAGATAATTGATTTTAACTTTTCATGAAAGTTAAATCCCTTGTTTCTGGCCTGACTTGTTTTGGCCTCTAAGTTTTGGCCTAAATGGCAGGGTTATAAGTATTATACTTGCTCTCATTTTGGTAAAATTTAATGTCATTGCATCAGGATGTTCTCATGTCTATTGATATTAGAGGGATTTATTAATATTTTAAAGCTTAATTTTTATATATATGAGCTACTTATTATAATGCTCCAGGAAAGTTATCAGGTCATCATATTTTAGAAAAGTTTGATACCTATCAAGCAATTCCATAGTGCTTCTGCATGTTGGGGAAAAAATTTTTTAAATGTGAAAAAATATCAATCTTCATGTGTTTCCTCAAACCTTTTTTTTCTTCTGCTTATATTCAATTATTTCCAAATTATGTCTGAAATAACTTGAGATTGCAGGTACTATTTATGTGCTTTTTCCAAAACTTACATGTTATTTGGTTTAGCTGAACTCTGCAACTTGTCTGTTTATTTAACATTTTCTGGTGCTTATCTCAACTATAGTTATTATTCAAAGGAAGTATCTATCTTATTTGCAGGAGCTTAAGGGTGTGCTTGAAGATGTTCCTGAGATTGTAGAATTGGTTGGCACTGCATCAGCAAACCAAGTCTTAGATATTGATGAGCGAGATGGGGCAGAGAAAGTAAAATCTGCTCTGCGGTCAGTTTTTACCCAACTAATGTCAGCTACCAAGGAGATGACAACTGAAGCAATATCAAAACTGAAAAATCGGCTGCACATGGAAAGTCAGGTCAGCAGAAATTTCATCAGTATAGAATTTTTTTCCTTACCGTGTAGAGTCATAAAACTAAGAAAGGAATCAAGGGTCATGACTTAATTATGTTCTTTAGAAACATGACCTGGACAGGGAACATTCATGAGGTCCTTTCTTTTAGTGTTCCTTCATAAAATGGCTGTCCTGAACACCTGAAAACAAGTTCTGTATTAGTCTGTTTTAGACTTCTGCCAGCATATGGCAAAATGGATCCTAACCAAATCTTTATTTATTTAAAGAAAAACCTCTAACTGTATGAAGAAAATTTTGATTTTGACAGTAACAAACTGATTTTCCTTCTAGGCTTTGATTTTGGGGATCTTCTGCTATTTACCACTCTAATGCATAAATGTCACTTGAATAATACCTGGGTGTATTGACATGAAAAAGTTCATCTAATTAAGTTTTCCTGATGGTCAAAATCCTACCACATTGCTTATTCAAGCAGCTAAGTTGTGAGCTTAAACCGGTATATTCAGCTTATTTTGCATAGCTCTATGTTGATTATGTATAGTGAAATCAACCAGGTAGAAAGCTATATTATAAAGTTGGCTGCAAAGGGTGCATGGTAGATTTTTTTCCCTTGTTGGCCAGGCATATAAGATTTTTCTAATAATCAATTAATTTATTTTTATAGTACTACTAGCTTTGCTAGATATTGTTCTCTTTCTCTTTCCAGATTGTAAAGTTGTTAAATAGTAGCTGCTCTGTATAGTTTTTCTTCCCTTTTTTTCTCTCCTGCTTATATCATTGATCTTTGCTTGATATTACTCTTCATTTCTTTTTCTTGCATCAGTTGAGGTGTCTAACTGAGAAGGAAAAGTTGGTGTTGCACTTGCAAAAGCAATACCCAGGTGACATAGGTGTCATATCTGCCTTCTTTTTCAATTATGTGAAACTTAGTCCTGGTGAAGCATTGTATCTTGGGGCAAATGAGCCCCATGCATACTTGAGTGGTGAATGCATTGAATGCATGGCAACGTCAGACAATGTTGTCCGGGCTGGTCTTACTCCCAAGCATTGTGATATCCAAACTCTTTGTTCCATGCTCTCATATAAGCAGGTACAAGTATTTAATAAGGTTTTGAACATTTTATATTTGAGAGTAAATAATTCATAATGCTGATCTTTGATGATAGGATGCCACTGCGAAGTGCTTTATTTCTACATGACTCGATTAGCAACATTTGTTTATCTTTTCTGATGGGGCTGTTTTGATTGATAACATCAAGTAAAAATTTATGCACGTGCTTGGATTTAGAAAAGACATTTCGCTTGACGAACAATTACCCATTTTGATAGAAGAGGCTTTGGTCTAATTGTTTTGCTTCACGTATTTTCCCGCATAATCAGCTTGACTCAAGATATTAATTTTCCCTGGAAATCATGTTAACTTTAATACTCCGGTGATACTTTGAAGTTGACATTCTGTTTGCGGGGCTGTAGAATCATGCCTTATGCAGAGGTGGCTATTGTGGATTGATTAGTGACTTAGTATTTGTTCTATGAACTCAAAGGTAACGGAAGTTCAAATTCTGATTTTTGTTGTTTCTGTTCCAGGGCTATCCTGAAATCCTGAAAGGATTTCCATTGAGTCCGTACATAACAAGGTATCTCCCACCCTTCGACGAGTTTGAGGTTGATCATTGCATTCTTCCAAAAGGAGCATCAACAGTTTTTCCAGCCATCCCTGGCCCTTCTATTTTCCTTGCCTTTGTCGGGGAGGGAACATTGCATAGTGGATCAAGGGAAGATATAGTTGCTGAAGGAGATGCGCTCTTTGCGCCAGCCAACATCGAGATTACAATTACTACTACATCTGAGCTGCAGCTATACAGGGCAGGGGTGAACAGCAGGTTCTTCCATGCCTTGTGAATTCAGAGCAGAGCTCCAGCCATCATCACAGCCTTAGGGAGTAAATAGTTTATTAATTATTTATTTTTGCACGTATCTATGCTATCTTTTGTTGCCATTTATAGCTATCCATTCTTGCACTACAGTGTAATTTTTGGATTTGCAAATATATAGTAAAAGTTAATACCATTCATGTATTGTCTATCCCAAATATAAATAAATAATTGAGTTCATTTCAAACAACAAGCTGGTTTCCCAGTTTTTCTGTGCAAGAAAATCTAATTTCCCAGAAACCAATCACCCTGAAATCATGGTTCATTTCCCCATGGACTGGTGGAATATCCATGTTCCCACCACCTTTCATTTTTTATTTTCTTTGTTTGGATAAATATTAATAAAGAAAAGAAAAGGAAAGAAAAAGAAAGGAAAAGAAAGTTTTTTTTAAAAAAGAAAGAATATATGTAACTCTTGTTTGGATAATTAAAATTAATAAAAAAAAAATTTAACAATTATTGTTTAGATAAAAAGTGAAAAAGAGAGGAAATAATTCATTATAATAATTTTTTTCAATTATAATCTTTCATTGCCTATAATTTTAAAGCATTTTTGGATTATGATATATTTGTTATATTGTCTGACCTCATAATTATTGCTATATCAATGATTTTTAATAAAGTAAAATAGAAAGATATTTTACAAATATATATTGATGAATTTTGAGTTAATCTAACATCTCATAAACTCAAGAAATATATCTATTTATATTCAACCATTCTTCAAAATCAAATCACCAAAAAATTATAAAAAATTTTATATTGAAAGATATATATGAAACTTACTTGAAAAAAAAGATGACTTTGAAAAAATTTTATGATAATTATGATCTGCTTAAGTTTTTTTTTATTAAGTTTTTAGTATTAATAAAAAGATAAACATAATAGCCTTTTTATAAAAAAAAATTTTTCAACTTTCCTTTCTCTAACTTTTCCTCTAAATTGGGATATTAAAAAATTTAAGCTTATAAAAAAACTTAAATGTTATTTGATTTCCACCTCTTTTTCTTTCTTTAAATTAAATATTTATCCAAACAAAAAAATATGAATTTTATTTCCTTTACTTTCCTTTTCTTCCTCTCCTCTCAATCCAAACACACTCCAAACACACCGTAAATGATGGGTGGTGGTTGCTGCAAATGGAATATACCTTTTTTAAATCTCCTTATAATGTCAGCAGCAACAGAGTAATGTGACTTTGCGGCAACATGCAATCCCCTACCCTCCACAATTTGTTGAAATCTTTGATGTATAATTGAAAACTTCATTTTTCTTTTTTTTTTTTGGGAGGGTTGAATGATCATAAACTCCTTGAAAGTTGAATTTTGTGCTGATTTAATTCCCTTAATCCATATTTTTCCATTCAATTTAATGAATAAAAGGAACTTATAACATATTACACTAACCCATCTAGTTTTATAATTTCAGTTGAATGATAAAAAATCAGAGGCAACCATCGGTTATATTTTCAGCTACCAGCTCTTAAACAACATTAAATAACACTTTCTTGCTTTAGCAGGGAATTCACAATACGTGCAGAAATCAATATGTAGGCCACAGAGAGAGTATTTCCATTTTCCAAAAACATAAAAGATTCATTTCTCGTATTTGAAAAACAAACTTAAATCAGAGTCAAAATTACCAATAGTACCCTATCCAATGCTGTTAATAACTCTTAACATAAATAAACAGAACAAGAAAAAAGCTTGTCCATCAAAGTTCTTTTTCAGGCCTCTGTTATAGGGTACTCAAAAACTACATCTTTCCCGGTAAGCTTCCTGAATACTCCTGCAATTGTCTCCAGCTTGTATTCGGTATTATTTTTCTCCTTTGGGTCCAAGAAAACCTGAGGAAGAGACAACATTAGATATACCATGGTTGATGGCAAGCATGAAAAGAAGAGATATTCCATGTTGTTACGGTTAACAAAAAGTATCTCTTAACTACCTTCATTATTTTGGTTCCATCAATTTGGTATCTGGTGCGCTTCCCAACAATCTCAGCAGGGTGCACTATATCTTCAAGCATTGCATCATGAACAGCAGTAAGTGTCCGGTTGTGAGGTCGCTGAACAGCAGAGCCTTTCTTTGGTGGCCTCAATATCCTCCTGTTGGCAAGCACAACAACATCCTGCAAAAGAATATACATTAACCAATAATACAACCAAAATCAAGTCTAATTGACAAGTAACTTCCAATGGGGCAATATTGGACTACACACACACAAACACATACATGATTTTCTAACTTTTTAATGGAAAAGTAGAGTAAATTACCTTTCCACTGAACTTTTTCTCCAATTCTCTAACAAGGCGTAAATGAACCTTGCGGAATGCCTTCCTCAATCTGTATGGTACGAAAATAACAACTGCCTTGCGATTTCCGGAAACATCCATTTGACTGTAGGATTAAAATGCATCTTCAACATTAGTTAAAAAATGGCCAATTTAAGGAGTAGAAAACAAATGAAAGTCTGGAAAAGGGTGTGGGCTTCGAATCCATACACTGCTGAGTTTATAAACAGATCTTGCAACTCAGTCTTAAAATCCTGGTTGGTATTCTCCAAATCAAACAATGCCTGCAGCACCATCAAGCATTGGAATTTGTCAACATTTGGACTGATACACAATAAGGTACTTAAATATGACAAACCTGCGCAACTGTCTCTTCAAAGTCAGTGGGTTCAGCATCCGTGTCCTTATGGATCTTCTTCCTTGAGGTGTACATTTTGGCAGTTCTAGAAAACAAATAATATCCATCAAGCTTTTGAAAAGGTACTACTCATACACATTAAATGATGTTTTAACTAGATTGGCAATTTTAAACACAAAATTGTAACACAACACAAAAAAAAGCATTAGAAAAGACACAAAAGCAATATGGTTTAAAATTTTAGCAAAAAATGTATTATGGGTTTAGCAAAAAGAAATATATTTTGTGTTTGGAAACACAATTTTTCATATTTTATTTACACATGTTTGACACAACACGAAAATGATACAGATAAAAACACCTAGGCACAAACATGAAAGAGATCATCTACAAATATTCTTACATAGTTAAAAAAAAAAAAGATCTATTACAAACATGAAATTCTAACAGGGAAATACTTATCATAGCTCATTTTCCTTAAATAGTTAACAGAAAGAGATCCAATGATCGTCACATTTCATTATCTTGCATAGTTAGCATAAAGAGATCAACTACAAACATGAAAATTCTATCAGGATATGCTCACAGTTCAATTACATAATCCTCGAAAAGGTGGAGGATTACTCATTTTCTAAATCCATTTAAATAATATAAACAAAAAGGAGGTTTCTTTGAATAATAAAAGAGGCATAGTAGAAGAAAAGAAAGAGAACCCAATTCCAAAACAGGTGAAACAAGGCAACTCATTTTGTCATGAACTGAATTAGGCTGAAACATGGCTTGATTTACGCTACATAAAAATGAAAAGACTAGGCTTTGAAATATAAAACATATGGGGCATAGAAGAGGGAAACAGAGAGAACCCAGATGATAAAAAACCTTAGCTAGCAGAGAAGCGAAGTTGTATATGAATCTATGAAGCTCTCCTTTGGGCTTCGGCTTCAGCTGCTGCTACTTCAAGGAAGAAAGTGCGGAGTGGTTAAGCGGGTTTAGTATTTGTAATGGCAAAATTAGGGTTGGATTTTGCCCCATGCAGCGGTTCAGATTATAGCTCTTAAACGATGTCGTTTTATATGTATACTTGATAAATGTTTTCTTTTCTCCGAAATATATTTATGTTTACGGAAAAATAAAAATCCTAATTATGTTACGAGAACAAAATTTTCAAAAAACAATAAAATTATTTTAAATTATAAATATTTAAAAATAAAAAAATAAAGAAGAAAAGAGAAAATGAAATGAAAGAAGAATAATAATATATATAAACTTGGCACCAATTTTCACTTTTTTTTTTTTCTCTGACTTTCACAAAACTAATCCAAAAACGTTTTACTTAGTTGGAAAGAATTACTACTTATCTTCATTTTATTGATATTTTTATTTTTTTTAACAAAAATATAAATAATATAAAAATTAGAATATATATAATAAAAAATAAATAGCAAAACCATCAATAAAGTGGAGTATTAAAAATGTACGCCATACTTAATAGCAACAAATTTTCATATAATATTATTAAATATATGTTTTTTGGATCTAGAATATTTAGAGAAAAGAATACGTTAAAGATCTTTTCCCTAAACAAAATTTCAATTTGAAAAGTACTTTTTAACCTAAAATTATCCTTTTATATTCTCAAAAATCCATAAACCATTAAAATTAATTTTTATTTTTCTTTTATTTTATATTTCTTCTTTTTCTTTCTCCTTTTTCTTCACCCCTCTTTCAGAAAATTGTTACAAAAGTCCTTCCCCAATCATAGGCTCGAAAAATATGAATGTAACATCTAATTAGAATTTGCTATGTGACCAAACATGAATCCTCACTTTTTACTAAAATGACAAGATAATTATTATTAGCTAGTATGCCGATGGATTTAATATGGTAATTTTTAATTATGTGTCATGACGTGATAAAAATGAACTATCTAATTAAGATATTAGCTCTATAAATAAGTATAAAATTTGATTAAAGATTTTCTAGTTGATTTTGATTAAAACAAAAATATTCTTTCGATACTCAAGATGAATTTTTTATTGATTACTTATATATTTTCATGTTTATTATTATATTCAATATTGTCTTATTGGGACATCTATGGTTAAGATTATAAATAAAACAATATCAAAATATAACAATTCTCATATAATATCATTATTAATCTCCAGTTAAAGATCACTTATACTACTATTATATGAAAATGTTACCATAAATACTAAGTGGTATATCAAATGACATTTTCATATGAGTTATGTTTAGTAAATTTGTTTCTTATCAAGCACTCATGTATTAATTCAAAATTATTCAAACTTCAATCTATAAGATTAGTTACTTAATTTATAAGTAAAAGTATAACTATGTGTCAACCTTAACAATTTTTATCAATGTTCTTTTTTGACAAAACATTAACTAAGAACATTTAAAAATATAGCTTTGATTTGATAATGATATCATAATAATAACTTGTTTGTCATTCTCTTGCAATACTTATATTTATTCTAAAGGGTTTATCATTAAGTAATAATAATATAAAGAAAGTTTATAGATAAATAAAAGAAAGCATATATAACAATTTCTTACTTGCATTAAAGCCAATCACATAAATATCTAATACCATATTAAACTACATGTTTACCATACTTTTACTATAACAATGACTTAGTTGGAGGATTAGTTATGTTATCCTCCATGAGTGCTTGTTTAATTTTTCATATCAACTCTAGTGAATATTTTTATGAAATGATAAAGTCTCAATATATGTTTGGATCTTTGATGAGACCTTGGTCCTTTGCCTATGCAATTGTTTTGTCATTATCACAATAAATTGTTATTGGATTTACAATGCTAGGAACTAGACTTAGTTTAGTTTTGAGCCTTTTGATCCAAACTATTTCTTTCACAGCTTTAAATGTATATATGTATGTAGCTTTAATTATAGAATATGTTGTTGTGACTTGTTTGAAACTTTTTCAACTAACTGCACCACTATTAAGAGTAAAAACATAACCGTTTTGGGATCTACTATCATTCTTGTCAATTTGGAAACTAGCATAAGAATAACCCTCAACTTTGAGTTAAGTTTTTTCATAGACAAAAAAAAAATCCTTGGTTATTCTTAAGTAGTTAAACATAGTCTTTATTACCATCCAATGATGATCACCCATATTAACTTGGTATTAACTTATTATGCCTAAGGCATAGGATACATTTGATTTTATGTAAAGCATTGCATCTATGATAGATCTAATTATCGAAGCATATGGAATCGTATTATGCGATCTCTCTCTTGTGTCTTAAGACATATATCTTTGGAGAGATTAATGCCATGAAACATATGCAAGTATTCCTTTTTGGATTTTGCTATGCTAAACCTTTTAGCACTTTGTCTATATATGTAAATTGTGAGAATCTAATCAACCTCTTAAATCTACCTTTATAGATCTTTATTCTTAATATGTATATTGTTTCTCCTAAATCCTTCATAGAGAACTTTTTTGGAACCCAAATCTAAATCGATTGGAATATTGGTATATCGTTTTCTATAAACGATATGTAATTTACATATAGCATTACGAAAACAAATGCACTCTTACTAGTCTTCTTGTATACATAAGATTCATTTATATTTTTTATAAATTTAAATTCTTTGATTGCTTTATCAAAACGGATATTCCAACTCCTCAATACTTGTTTAAGTCCATAAATGGACCTTTGAAGCTTGTGTACCTTATTGGTATCTTGTTTGGATTTAAAATCCTCAAGTTATGTCGTGTACACTTCTTCTTGCAAATTCTTATTAAAGAATATCGTTTTGACATCCAGTTTTTATATCTCGTAATTATGGTATACGATTATAGCAAACATAATCCTAATGGATTTTACCATGGCCATTAGAGAAAAGGTTAATCAAAACCAACTCCTTGTTTTAAATTATATTTGTTTACCATTTGTTTAACTTTGTACACTTGTATATTGCCATCCATGTTAGTTTTCTTCTTGAAAACCCACTTGCATCCTATAGGTCTAATCCCTTCAGGTCGGACCACCAAAATTCAAACTTGCTTATATATATAAACCCAAATTATTTCACTTAAAGCTATCTAATCCTAAAGTGGTTGCATTTAAGCAAATTATCATGGATGGATTGCCTAGGCTATTGTTGGAGACGGGCAAGATTACAAAATAGTTTATACCTAATAGTACATCTTTTGGTGGAATATCTTATAGTAAGGAAATCTCAAACCTTTTTTGAAGTGCCAATACAACCAAATTGACTTTTGATGTGAGGAATAAAAAGTATCTAATGAATTTTACAATCTCAATCCTTAAATCATTCATAGAATTTATCAGCATCCTTATCTTTTTTCTATGTTGGCCTATTGATCTCACTAGTGACATATCGTTAGAGTTTTCTCCCTTTAAGAAGGCCATAAATCTCTTCAGCCCAAAACAATAATTATCTTCATATAAAATAGCTTGAATTAACATAGAACCTTCAAATTTCTCCATAATAATAAATTTATATGCACAAAGTCAATTAAATAATGCATAAACTATATATAATTAGGTAGTTTTATGAAAAACAAAGGTTAAAATAAAAAATAACATGCTAAAAAATCTAAGTAATCGATTGAATGTAATGAAGAATTAATCAAATAATGCTTAAACCTAACGATCAAAGACAAAACCAGTAGGCTGAATCAGTTAAATTTGAAAAAAGTCAATTGATATTATGGCTGCTAGAGAACGTGACAAATGGTAGAAAAGAGACTAAAATGGTAGTGACATGGATAAATGATAAGGTGACACATTATCAAAGTTGATGTGTAATTAGAATATGACACCCATTAAGATGCTACCGCAACTAATCGATGATGTGGTAAATTTTCAAGTGAATTGAAAAATGACACGTCAATAATGTGATAAAAGCTATCTTGTCAGAAACTTGTCAAAATGGATTGAAATTGACTTAACGTGTAAGAGTGCATGCTATCACGAATGGAGATGTTGTTTCGATTGTAGAACCGCTGGTTGCCAAAAAAGTGATTTTTGATGTGAGTTTTTAGAAAAAACCATTGAAACATTGAAACTTGGGTGGCCAATGATTAGGAAAGAGAAAATTGAATAAAAATTAAAAAAATTGAGGCTTCGATACTAAGTTAAAAAACAAAAAAATTTGAGGAACTTTTATTTCTATATATTCAAATGAACAATCTTGTACATAAATTTATATGCAAGAACATCCTAAATTTAGGTTAATTATATCCCTAATTTAAACTAATCATTTTGTGAACAAAATTATATAATGACTAGAATTAAAAAGGCATAGGATCAAAATAATCAATATAGTCAACATATATACTAACTTAAAAATATATGCATAATAAATATAAAGACACATATACCATTTTATAACAAGCAGATGAAAGTAGTCTCCCCAATTTCACTATTCACTCAATATTTATTAAGGTATCTAATTTCATTCCATTTGTTATCTATTGATTGACACAAAATATAAGGATAAAATTATATTTTTAAGCTTTAGATACTTTTAAGGAAATCGATTAAAAATAAGAAAACAATGCTTCTTGACTTTCCATGAAGACGCATGAAAGGAGATTAGAAAAAGACGCTGGGGGCAAAATAAAGGCAAAAACTAAGGCTTGAAATGAAAAACAAAGAAAAAACTACAAGAAAGTTTTTAGAGTACAGAGAAGCTTTTGGACATGAAATTAGAGACAATTTGGAAAAAAAAAAAAGATTGCAGGTAAAAGCTTATGGATTGAAGCTTATGAGTGAGAGGGAGATGATTTGGGAAAATTGAGAAAAAATGAAGATTAAAGGTTGAATAGAGTTTCTTGAGGGAGAGGATTTGGGAAAAACAAAAAACAAAAAAGAGAAATGTTGAAAAAAGATAGAGCAAAAGTCCAATCATGATTACAGTAGATGTAAAAGATTAGTCTTGATATGGTAATTTGTAGGTAGATCAGGTGTAGACATCTCAATCGGGGTGTATTCTTGCGTCAATTAATGAATTGACAAAGAAAAGTGAATGGAAATTTTTTATATTATTTTGAAAA